TATTCATTGAATATAATTTAATGAAAGTGGATTCATCAAAGACGCTTTCATTAAAAGCATTTTTCTTGAATCCGCTTTCATTAAAAAGCGGAATCAACATATCCACCTTTAGGAAGGAACATTATTGGAATTGAAGACATTGAAAAGCGTATATAATGAATCCACTTTTTAATGAAAGCGGATTCAAGAAAAATGCTTTTAGGTCCCTTTAAAAGCATTTTTATTGACACCCCTTTAAACGTGAACGCAGATTCAATAAAAACACTTTTATGTCCCTTCAAAAGTGTTTTTATTGATTTTGTTTTAAACAAGAAGTTGGATATGTTAAAGACGCTTTCTAAATGAAAGTATACTTGTTTAATCCGCTTTGAAAAAATGTCGTAAATTGGTAATTAAGTTCAAAAATGCCGTAGAATGATAAATATGTTTGAAAAGAACTATATTTTGGTAATAGACTTGTGTGTGACATGGGTTTTGGGTAACGTGTAGGGGNGCGCTTTCTAAATGAAAGTATACATGTTTAATCCGCTTTGAAAAAATGTCGTAAATTGGTAATTAAGTTCAAAAATGCCGTNTAAAGTATACTTGTTTAATCCGCTTTGAAAAAATGTCGTAAATTGGTAATTAAGTTCAAAAATGTCGTAGAATGATAAATATGTTTGAAAAGAACTATATTTTGGTAATAGACTTGTGTGTGACATGGGTTTTGGGTAACGTGTAGGGGTTGGTAGCGTGTAATAGACATTAAAGCTTTGGGCAGGATATTTTTTTAGGTGGAGATGGATTATGCATCGTTGGATGAGATTAGATGAAATCTAAATCATTTAAATAAAATTAGATTTAATCTGAACCGTGCTTGAGTTTTCCCAACTTTGAGAATTCAAAATCTACTCTAATTATTATAGATGTCTTTTATTTTTGAAAATTCTCCTTTTGTACTCAAATTCATTTATATCTCGGGTTTATTTTTGAGAAATCTCTGTGACTCAATGAGAAGAACAAGGTAGTTTTGATTGACGATTAGCATGCCCACTAATTTCCTTTTATCTTGATGTTAATAACAACTTGGACTTGTGAGCAGTAGGAGCTGTAGATTTTTCTAGTAATCTCCCTATGAATTTTTGGGCAGATGACCTAATTCTCTCTTTTTCTCATTACAGTCTGACTCTTTAGGACTGTTAGATTTGGATATACCTCCCAGTCCCTGTAGATACTGTAGCGACAATCTAATTCTGAGTGATAGCTTCAGCGGTTTAAACCACCTTATGGCCAGCAATCTGGATGCGTTTCAAAATTGGTTATTCTTTGGGTTGTACAAGAAAGAAGCAACATTAGCAGTTGAAGCTCAAGACACTATGCCCTTTTCGAGTTATAAAATTGGCAGTGAAGTTTGAGATATACTTAGGTGGAGCACAGAGAAAATTCTGGGCAACCTGAAGGGAACTGGCTTTATTGTTGGATCTGTGAGGCTTGCTTCATTCCCCAGTACAGTACAGATGACTTGAGGGACTTGGAAAGGGGCTCTTTGAAATTGCCCCCTTGTACAAAAATGTGGATAATCTTCCCCAACTGTTAATCATGTGATCTTATGAATCATACACTATGGTAAGATTGATGCTGATGTTCAGGATCTGCTTACACAAATAAGGTTATCTGGATGAAGGCCCCCCTTGGAGGATTGACACTTGATTCTTTTCAATGATTTATTTGGACAGGTAATCATAAAGGATTTTTTTTGGAACTCCTTTTGGACTAACATAAGCTTATGATACATTAGGTATTATGAAGGATCGAACTGGACAACCCCGTCCATTCCATATCTACCTATTCGGCCTTTGGAATAATTATAGTAATAATGTCTCCTTATTATATTTAGTTAAAGTATTAAGAAGTAGTGGAGGTCTACATTTATCAATCTAGTATTTTGTTTGGATAGAATATTGAATAATTGTATAAACATTAAATTACTAAAGAACCTTCAAGATAAAGAGTGGTATTTATATCTTAGAGATTCTTGAGGGTAAAAATGTCTTTTGACTAAATACACCCCAATTGGATTATTTAAATTCATAAAAAATATGGGTTTATTTAAGAGGTATATGTAGTCTCAAATACAACATTCATCCAATTCGGTATTATTTTTAGGTGATAATATCAGGTTCAAAATGTGTATCTAAACATGAGTATAAGAGAGATAAGATGGGTCCAACGTTATTTTTTTCAATTCCTCCCTAATACCTAAGGCTGTCAATTTTTGACACGACACGAATTGAACCCGATATTAATGGGTTGAACACAAAATTAAACGAGTTAATAGGTTAAAATGGGTCAAAACGCTTAAATACAAAAAAAAAATCATGTCGGGTTCATGTCAAATGATTAACCCGTATATTTTACACGGGTTGATATGATTCGGACACGAATCTGACCTAACCTATTGTAAACCCGTTTAACTCATTTATGGTAGTATAATTTGCCTATTATGTATGACTAAAGTGGTCTTAACATTATTACTTATTAATTTTTGCTTCTACTATTATAATTCACAATATAATTCTTAATATTATTATGACAATATACTAGTATAGTTCTTGTTTTAATTTTTGGGTTGAAACTTGAATTCATTTTAGTTAATTTCATTGATGAGATGTGATATATTATTTGTAAAAAAAAATATTTAAAATTTTGGATGAATGATTGAATGATGTATTTAATGATAATGAACTAGTGTGTAAACATGTTATGTGTGCTAAACAAACATGTGTTATGTGTGCCAAACAAGTTAAATAAATCATGTAATTAATGCTAACGCGAAAACGACCTGTTTATTAAACGTGTCAAAGAGGTCGGGTTTGGGTAACCTGTTTAATGGTCAAGTCAGGTTAGTGTTTACACATCTTGATATGATTATTAAAGATGTCAGGTTTGAGTTTTGAGATTTTTGACACAAATTCGAAATCAACCCGACATGTTTGATACCCGTACTAATACCTAAAGCAAACACACCCTATAAGGGCTTGTTTGGATGAATTTTGGGGAGGGGTTTGGATTAACTTTTTCAAACTCAAACCCAAACCCAAACTCAAACTCAAACCCCTCTTTATAAAGATGAGATTCAACATTCAATCCGGTTCATACTCATGTTTGGTATGCAACACATAAACATATTGGACACACGGATATATCATAATTATTAATAATTATTTGTCCTCTAAATGACTAATTTACTTTTAATCAATTCAATTCATACACATGTTAAGGAGAACATTTGTCTTTTAAATCTTTAACCCCTTACCCACCTTCCCAAACCCACCTCCCCCTAGTCCCTACGCTTGACGAAACTCATGATCATGAGTTTAATATTCGGATCAACTACGAGGTTGGATTTGGAAACTCAAGATTAATTTTTTTATACAAACATGAGATATGAGAGAACTTTAAACTATTTTTTTCAAACTCATCATAGCATACCCCATACCCCTTTACCAAACAGTCATAAGGGTTTTGAGTTTAAAAATGTATGATTGCCAATTATTTCTCTCTTAGATACTCTTATTGCACATGTAACAGTTGACGGTTGGATTTTGCCATTTGTTATGATCATGGACATGGAAAACTAAGCCCCCCAACACTACCGCGCAAAACCCCAAAAAAAAAAAAAGAACCAATCAACCCCAGGTGTTTGTCTTTGATTGCCAACTTTTGTTACAAATAATTATCAATAGGTATTGCAATATGTGTTTCAGCTCCTTGTTTTCACTGGCTGATGATGACCGGCTGGTTTGGACCATAAAAATAGTATCACCCAAGAATGTTCGGCACTCAGCAGATGATTAATCTTATAAGATAAATAGCATGACAGGTACTTGTGTGGATCAAAATATTTCAACTTACGTAATTTAATCTGTGGTTATATATAAATTAGAGGAGAGTCTAATTCTTGTTTTGAACTTGCTGATCTAAGTTACTTTCCATTGGGTGGGGAATGAATTTCATTTTTTTTTTTTTTGAACTTGGGGAATGAATTTCATTTAGTGTTGGATTTTCTGTTAGTTGAACACCAATAGTGAATTACATGAATAAATTAGGTTTACGTAGTTGTTCAAATAATTACTCTTGCCTAATAATATGGGATACACACCAAACATTAGTGATACCAACCTAAAATTGGTTGTTGGTACCATGAAATTCCATCTCACATAGTTCATGTAAGAAATTCACCAAATGTCTTAGCTATACCAACCTCAAATTTGTTCCATCAGAATCTCTTTGTCCTCTGTTATGAGAAACCCACCTAATATTGGGGAGACCAACCTAACCTACAATTTGGTACCATGAGCTCTATTCCATTATTTAGTGTCAAGTTGTTTATAATTAATAAATAGAAAATGAGTCACTTCTGGGTTTTTTAAAAGCACAAAATAGGGGCAGCATTCATGAAATACTATATAAAACTCCAAAAACGACAGAGAAAGAACCATGCCCACGTAAGCTAGTGGTCCCACATAGTGATAGAAACACTATGCTTTCTAATTTCTAGAGCTCCGATGCCATGTGTTCAATCTGTATTGCTCACAATAATAGGAGGAACATTTCTTCGTTCTATATTATAATCATTGAAGCTTGAACAAATACATGGACACCCTAAAATTAATGCTCAACTTGTTGATTGTCCTGTCTTCTGTCATTTGTCAACAAAATGAGGTAAGAGGGCATGTGGCTAGCAAAAAGAATAGGACAGCTTATCATCCTTCACACAGCAGCCAAATATGACCACTCTAACAATTTCGTCAAGAAATTATCCTGACACTAAACCCAGTGGCCATTCTGGAAAAAGGCAATGATTCTTCATTCGAAAACCTTGAAAAAGTTACATTGAATTGAGCGGAGTACTAGAGTTGCAATTTAACTGTGTCAAAATAAATTATAATTGAGTAGGGTTCAAACCAATTGTGACCTAATTCATCTCATTGAAATTTAGGATCAATTTTAATTGATCTCATTAATTCGTAAACCGAACATTAATTTTTAGTACCGTAATCTCATCTCTTTGTATGTTTATCAGCAACTAATCGATGTGATCATTCAGTTTCAAATGCCTCGCTAGCATTAGATTACCCTAATTGGATGCTTCTCACCCCTGCGGCAGTGGGTACATGGTAAGAATGAAAACCTTAATTTTATTTCTTCAGACCAATGGTACAATCTTCATATAGCAATAGCAGGTATTCAATAGTTACGGTATAAACATGTCTTCTCTGATTCCTTTATTGTCCCATGCATGTGTTACATCCAGTAAGTATGAATAAGAAGCCCAACCAGATTCGTTCGATAGTCCAGTAAGGAGTTAGGCGTAAACTCATACTCTCTAAGTGTAAATTCCTCTAATTGTATAGATCTCTTTTTTAACCGTTGCACCTAATTTATGAAAATCTAAAATTTAGGTTGAAACAATGAATCCAAATGAGATATGTTTAACGATTTCCGGTTCGAAAAACTAAAGTATGGGTGTTACCTATAGCTTCAAATTTAGAGTAATAATCATATGATATATGGCCGTCTCTCTCTCTCTCTCTCTCATGTGAACCACACGCACACACACAACACTCGCAATGGAAAACAGTCACAAGAAGCCTCACGCCATCATGATGCCATACCCTCTCCAAGGTCATGTAATCCCTTTCATCCATCTTGCCACAAAGCTTGCCTCTCAGGGATTCACCATTACCTTCGTCAACACTGAATCAATTCACCATCAGATAGCTAAAGCACAATCTAATACTATTGAGGACGACATCTTCGCCGGAGCTCGTAAAACAGGCCTCGACATACGTTACACCACCGTGAGCGACGGTTTTCCGGTAGGGTTTGATAGGTCCCTCAACCATGACCAGTTCATGGAAGGTGTCCTGCATGTTTTCTCTGCCCATGTGGATGAACTCGTCGGAGAAATAGTCCGATCAGACCCACCGGTCACTTGCATGATCGCTGATACTTTTTACGTGTGGCCGTCGACGGTTGCCAAGAAGTATAACCTTCTTAATGTTTCGTTCTGGACTGAACCAGCTTTGGTTTTGACTTTATACTATCATTTGGACTTGCTCAGAAAAAATGGTCACTTTGGTTCTCATGGTATGTGAAAATCTTTCTCTCGCTCTCTCTGTGCTTGCAACTTAATTGTTGACTTTAATAGATAACCCTAACAATAGTATATTTCATATCAACCAATATACAAATATATATCATACTGCACGGGCTATGCCTCACACCCTCCCACCCATTATTTGACTCTCAAGAAAACCAGTGGAAATGTGCGATTGGTGTCTATGGGCGCTCTGTTGAGTGACCTAGTGAATATGAGTTATATGCTATTTTGGACAATTTTTATAGACCTTACAAATTGAGCCATAATATGATTGTTAGCTTATGAACATGATCAGATAATCGCAAGGACACCATACATTACATACCCGGGGTTGAAGCAATTGAAACAAGGGACTTGATGTCATATCTTCAAGCTACTGATATATGGACGGTGGTTCACCGGATAATCTACCGGGCATTCGACGACGTGAAGAGAGCAGATTTTATTCTTTGTAATACAGTGCAAGAGCTTGAATCCAAAACAATCTCAGCTCTTCATCAAAAGCAATCCATCTATGCCATTGGGCCCATCTTCCCTGCTGGCTTCACCAAGAGTTCTGTGGCTACAAGTCTGTGGTCCGAGTCGGACTGCACCCAGTGGCTCAACACCAAGCCTCATGGGTCAGTTTTGTACATCTCATTTGGCAGCTATGCTCACACTACTAAACATGACATTGTGGAAATTGCCCATGGGCTTATGCTTGGTGAAGTGAATTTTGTTTGGGTGCTTCGACCTGATATTGTAAGCTCAGAAGATACAGAGTTTTTACCCATTGGATTTGAGGACAGCATCAAAGATCGCGGCTTGATCGTGCCATGGTGCTGTCAGATTGAGGTTCTATCTCATCGTGCCATTGGAGGGTTTTTAACTCATTGTGGATGGAATTCGATATTAGAAAGTGTTTGGTGTGGTATTCCACTAATTTGTTACCCTTTGTTGACTGATCAATTCACTAATCGTAAACTAGTGGTGGATGATTGGAAGATTGGAATTAATCTGCACGATAGGGAATCGATCACAAGGGAAGAAGTTGCCAAGAAGATTGACTGTCTAATGAGTGGAAAAACATCGGAGGAATTGAGGAGTGAGGTCAAGAAGATGAGAGAGATATTAGAGAAGGCATTGGCAACCGATGGATCATCGGAAAAGAATTTCAATCAGTTCATCAACGATGTGAATGCGAGTATGTAACAAAGTGTGAAGACCCATCATCCGATCATGCTAAAGTTTGTCAATAGTTATCAAAAAAATTACTTTAATATCATTTGAATGTCAAAAACAAAAATAATCTCTCACGTCAGAGTGCAAAGAGTTGTTTTTTTTTTTTTTTTCAAAAATTAAATGAAATTGTGGGAGGGCCTCACCCTCACAGATTGTTTGTTTGCTCCGGAGGTGCTCCTCCCTTGACTACGGTAGTACGGGAAAAAAATTTGGTACGGTAACTCTAATTTTAACTATTTTAATTAGTGTTTTTATAATTTTTGTGGATTATTTTATAATAAAAAAATTTATTTTTTTTGAAGGTATTTTTATCACTATTGTGGATTTTGTTTACCACATTTGTGATATATTTTTATTATTTTTTTAGTATAAAAAATTATTATATTTATGAGTGTTTTATCACATTTGTGAATATTTTTACTGTATTTTTGAATGTTTTTACTATTATTATGGTAATTATTTTTACAATTTTTTTAGGTACCATAATAATAATAATAATATTTACAAATATAATAAAAATAACCATAAATATGATAAATAGAGGTATAATATGGAATTGTTTTTTTCGATACGATCATGTCATTTGTCTACTTAATTCTAAAATGTCCTTTACTGGGTTATTTGTCAATTAGTGTTTGTCATTAGTCCATGGACGATCAGAAATTGGAGAACTATGGCACCTAAAAAAAATTTTATACCGTTCTTCAAAATTTTATAATTTTTGTAATTACTTTTATAATTTTTACAGGTTATTTTACAACAAAAATTTTTATAAATTCTTAGGTCAAGTTATAATTTTTAAGGTTTCAATTACAATTTTTTTGAGCTAAGTTATAACTTTTATAATAGTTTTGCGATCGTTCCTAACATATTTATGATCAATCACAAGTTAATAATGTGATATCCCAAAATTCGAGGGTACTTTCTCAACCCATTAATCACCCATTAACCCACAAAATACTCATAGTTACTGTATAATTCGATACCACATTGTTACAACACATTCACCGAGAACGTAACAAAACAAAATTCGAGCAGAGTTTCCTTTATACAGAAGTACTACCCAACACATAACTTGTTCACGTATTATTCATATGACCATTCTAAGGTCCAAACCCCAAAGTTTAAGACTTAATATTTAACCATTTACATCATCCAAAGAAAGGTGCCCAAGATGTGAAGGCTTAGTAATGTTACATTTAAAATTTCAATTTTTGGTAAGAGGTACTAGCACCTAGGTAAGGAGTACTGGTACTCAGGCATTCTAGAAGCCAAGTACCGGTACTTGTAAAAGTTGGTACTGGTACCTAGGACCACGACAGTGTGGTGTTGATGCTCGTGAGCCTAGGTACCAATACCTGATGCCCACTATCAGCGGGGTACCGGTACTTATGAGCCTAAGTACTAATACCTAAGTTCTCTGGATGCCAGGTACCTGTGAGGTATCGATACCTAGAACCCATATTTTTTTCAAACTCTCCAGAACCAATTTTTAACCCAATAAACTCATACAACATCCATTAAATTCATTTGTTTTTCAAAAGAATAATGTACTATTACATGTCTTTGTTAAAATACAAGCTTTGTACATAATTTACACAAGGCCAAAACAAATTTATACATGGGATAACAAAAGATAATTTATGAGTTACAACCCGGCTCTGTCATCAACTTGGGCCCAAGTGAGGGCCGTCCACCAAAGCTTGTCCAACACCTGAAATATATCCTCAAAAAGGGTGAGCCACGCTCAACAGGGTATCTCTTAAGGAGGTCACTCCCAACCCAGATGCATTTGAAATGTTACATGCAAGTCATCAAATCAAGCATTTAGCCAAGCATACCAACCAAGAATGATTTCTCATGAATGTCTGCCAAACTCCAAACCCCTTCTCGAGTTCCCACACACGACACTTGATACTATGCCATGACAGGAACCAGGCATTTCATGCCCTTACCATTGATGTTATGCATCCAATGACCATTCATCGACTCTGTCTTTGTTGGACAAGTATATTTTGGACATCACACTAACAGTCTACCAAATTGGCACAGAATTTGAGGGCATCACACATCTGGCTATGAGTATGCCGACACACTTTTTTGGAATTGCACCGCCAGTCAAGTGATTGAACTAAGTAACCGGGTCTTACACCCATGAGAGAATCTATCCCTTTTTGTTATATCCATCACAAGTTCTTTATGCAATGTTCCATGCAACTCTGTTAGACTTGACAAGCCCATTGGTGTTATTTTATTTTGGGTCTTTTGGGTGTGGGTACATTTTTTTAAACTTATTTGAGAGGAAGTGTATGAATAAGTTATTTATTATATTAAATTCGATTTTAATAAAACATCTTATGATTAGGTACAAAATTAAAATAACCTTTATTTATATTACTTATTTACCCTTAACTTAAATTATGCATAATTCTTATTCTTTCACTCTCTCTCCCCCTATTTCTCACACCGTTACTCTTTCTCTCTCTCTCCTATTTTCTATCTATCTCTCTATCCTTTACTCTCTCTATCTCTCCCTTATTTTTTCTCCTTCCCATTAATAATTTATTTTCTTTTCAAATATGTAAAGATTTGATTTGATTTTTTCTTTTCTCTCTCTCTATGTTATTTTCTCTCACCGTTACTCTCTTTCCTTATTCTTTCTCTCTTTATATCAACATTATAATAACAAAATTACACCAATTAGTTACAATTGCCCTATAATGCACCAAACAATTACTCATGTATTCTGATAAACCAAATAGTTACACCAAACAATTAAACACAATTATGATACCAATCCAATTTGTTATTCAACTGTTTACATAAATTAAAGAGTTACACCATTTAGTAACACGACATGAGTACACCAGTTATGTACACCATATTTGGAATAATGGTAAGAGAAAGTGAGAAAATCGGAAAGAGAAAGTGAGAGAGTAATGGAGAGAAAGGAAGAAAGAGTAATCGACTAATAAATGACATTTTAGTAATTTTTTAAAAATATGCATTTATGGTCAAATAAGTTTTACTAATGTAGTTTAACTCAATTAAGTCCAAATTTTTGTATTGGCTGCTAAATTTTCCTTTTAAGTTTTTCCAATATGGCCTTTTTAATTTTATATTATATTTTTATTTTTTGGCCAACAATGAGCCTATCTGACGACAACATCACGATTCTAAATCAGATCAGTTTGTTCAGCCTAGAGAAGCACAAGTCACACCCACAAACCTACAAATTGGGTTTTTGGGTTATCTACAGCCCATTTGGGGTTGATCCACTCCAGTCGACTGTCGGGTTTTTACAAAGGCCAATGTATTGAACTCTATCATCAATGAAGTGTTACAAGTCCCGCGACTTCTGTGCAGCTTTCGAAAGTAACACATTTTGCTTGCCAAAATGGAATGAAAAAGAAAGGTTTAATTTTCTTTAGTTTTTAATGGTTTTCGACGGCCCGAGGAAGGCGACGACAACGGTTTGTATTCTAGTTTAATTTTTGTGAAAGTCCTTAGAAGTAGTCCCAACCTAACTTCATATAATAATAACATCTCTTTAGTTATTTACCAAGAGAAATGCATCTGTGCGGGATGATTCTAGCACAATGAATAAGATGACAGATCTTTCTCCTGGTGAGCTCGAGCTTGCCTGGGAAGTTGAATGTCCCACAGAGAGTGGAATGCAATAAGTGGTGATGGAACTCTCTACAAATAATCTATTCACTCGTGAGTGCTCGAACAAGGTCCTTTCACTCAAAAAGAAGGTTAGAAGGATGTTGGAGTGTCTTCCGGCTGACTCCCCTCCCAACGATCAAGTTAGTATTTGAGAGAAGGTTGAAAAAAATACTATTCTATTGCTTGGGTAAGGGGTTGCATTCCTTGGACTGAGCTTGAGAGTGTTACTCATACCTTTTAGGAACTAATCATTGCGGATGATTGGATCCCTTTGAGGGAAGACCCTTGATTGGCTCACTTGGAAGGCAACATATAGTACACAGACTTTGGGCAGAGTGTCTTCCCCCTCACATGGTAGAGGCTGCTGCATTTAATACTCAAATCTCCGAGCATTTAATGTTCACTTTTTTGACTTTACCAAGCAAAAAATATGACCCATCCTTCTGTGGGGTCATTTAATGCGCTCTTGTTGTGGTTGAACATGCGTAGGGGCATTTTTTTCCATTAGCCCCCCAAGGGGTCAGGAATTACAAGTCTTGTACTCCGTACTTCTTCCTCACTGGTTACTAAACTGTCTTTCCAACCATTTTGGTTTCTTTGGGAAGGGTGATTGATGATTGATAGCCAAACCCACTTCCAAGTAATGATGTTCTGCTTTACCTCGATCGTGGGTATGCATGCATCAGCTAACCTCCCTTTTTTTCTTTGAAATATTAACATCATCATTTGGAAGAAAATAAATGTCAAAATAGCTATTCATGTTTCACTAGAGTTAATGGCTTTATGCCGAGGACACATGTCAAGCAAAAAATGCTCTGGTGACCTAAGTGTCGAAGACATGTGTCAAGTAGGTGACGCCCTGGGGACAATAGCGCTGAGGACATGTGTCAAGCAATGAATACTCTAGGGACATAAGTGTCGAGGACACGTGTCAAGCAGGGAATGGTCCGAGGACATAAATGTCTAGGACATGTGTCAAGTAGGGGATGCTTCAAGGGAACTCGAGCCGAGGACACATGTCATTCCATGGAAGCTATGAGGCCACTATGCTGAGGACACGTGTTGTCTCCCTATCAATCTTCAAAAATATCCCATAAATTGCCACACATCCATTGATCTTTGTACGGACCATATGATGCAGTAGAGGAAGATGAAAGGGCTTGATCCTATGTCTCTTCGTGTAGCCGCTTTTTTGCCTGTGGGGTCTTTGCCGCATTTAATGTTCTGCTTCGTTCACCATGAGCAATAATAACCCTTGGTCATATTCAAACAGAGACCTCCTCGTCCTCCTCCACTTTTGCCAATCCAATGAGTTCAAGGGAGTCTATCAGAGTTCCTTCTAAGAGGCAACAGTTCATCTAGAAACAATCACCTTCCTTGAGTTCGCCGAAGAAAAACATTTACCTCCACTCCCCATCTCTTTCAAAGTTCTATTTATGG